GCGTGTGGGGGGGGGGGTGGGGGGGGGGGGCTAAGTGTGTTGGAAGCATATGAGGAAAGACAGGAAAGAAAAACAGGGAGAACAAGCAGGATAAGAGCAAAGAGGAACATCAAGTGTAACTTCAGTTAAAACTGTTGGTAGGCAACTCTGCACCTGGACACAGGAATTACTTGCTCCCTGTGCAAAAAGCAGTGTTTGGGAAGGGATTAATGTGGGTTTGATAGTTTGTGTGCCTTGTGTTTCAGTGCAGAGCTACAGAAGTCAGTGCCTGGCCAGCCCACCGTCAATGATATTGTCCAGGCTGTCCTGAAAGAATGTTGGAAAGAGAACCTAAAGTATAAGATGGTGGCACTGCGCTGTGCGGCTGGAGTGCTGCAGGCAACAAAGGAAGACCAGTTCCAGGAGCTTGCAGATATCATCTTTCCCATGATAAAGAAGGTGACAGTTCAGCTTTTTGAGTTGTTCCTCTTTCAAAGCAAAACACTGAAGTGGTGACAGTCCAGCTGGTGCTGGACACATGCCAGGCTTCTGCCCAGAAGGCTGCTGATGTGAGGAATACTCCACACTCAGCCAGATCCTTGGTAGGGCTGAATAGCAGACCACTGGTGAGCCCTGGGGGGTGTTACTGGTACTGCCCACATTCTGAATTAGGCCAACTGTTCTCTAGGCAGAGTCCTTCCTGCGGTGTCCAGCACTGCCCTGACACAGCATTAATTCCTGGGTGTTCTACAGGCAGCAAAAGACTCCTAGGAAGCTCTGTAGAGTGCTTCTGTTTAGTATCTGCGGCTCTGCAAATGGGACTCGTTTAGCACAGGCAGATGTTTGGATGCAAGGCCATGGAGCCTGCTGTGCAATTCTGCAGGCTGCCAATAGCACCAGAGCTACTGGTGGCCAAGGGGGCCTGTGCTCCATCTGTATGGAGGCACTGACTGGGTTCAAGGACTGTTGTGCACAGACTGCAAGGGAAGACTGAATTGCACTGAAGTTTGTGGCTAACCTGCCCTCATCCTTCTGTCGATCATACCTTCCCCCCATGGCCTCCGCAGAACTCTCTTGAGAGCATGGGCACAGGTTTACCAAAGCATGATGAAGAGGACGAGGACATGAGGGAGGAAGAGGTGCAGATGGAGTCCCTGATCTGTGCCTTCGAGACCCTGGGTAAAGCCTGGCCGAGGAGCCCAGAGACACAGCGTAAGTCAGCCAATGATGTGCAGAGCAAACTTTCTCAGCTCAAACTGTTTGCTCTTAAAATGAAAAGGGGGAAGAGGGAGGAACCTGGAGATCATGTGGGGAGTGGGGAGGCTTTTGAGGAGGTGCAGAATCTTGCTGCCTGCAGCTTGCAAGGTCTTTAGTGAGAAAGTTGCCCCAACAGATTTCCTACAGAGTAGCCCATCCTTGGGGGAATTCCTTTACTGTTGTCTTAAAATCATTTCCCCAAACTGTTCTGAGTTTGTGGAGACATGCAGGATGCCTGAGGTGGCTTGCCTAATCAAAAGCAGACTACTTCTACTGCTCACATTTATATTTGCATCAAAGCTGGTACAAGGCGGAGGAATTGGGTATATCTCAAAAAAAAACAGGTTGCTTTCATTAGCACGCCAGAATGTGTAATGCAGCTGTTTATCTTCCAGTGTTTGTAATGATAGCATTGATGTGACGAAGATTTTCAGGGTCACTTGTTACAGGATGTTCACTTGGTCATATGCAGTGACTAGCTTGATGTCACTTGGAGAGGAGCACAAGGAACACCTGGGATACAGAGCAGGAAGTGTTTCCTTCTATCTTTCCCCATGGTAACACAATGACATCCTTATTTTTCTGTAGGTTGCTATCGCCAAGAGTTTTGCAAGTTAATGTGTGACCGTCTGAAACTCAGCACATGGAAAGTGCAGCTTGGAGTGCTACAAGCCATGAATGCCTACTTTCAAGGGTAATTCTCCTTTCTGCAATCCACTTTGATGATGTTTCTTTTCTTTGCTTCAAACTGTTTAATGAAATTGAGGATGCCACTGGATTCTTGGAGGAAGTCAAGCAGACTTCTGTCCCAGTGATGCAGAGTGTCTGACTGTTTTTGCATTTGACAGGCTAATGCTGTTTGATCGGGAGCACTCAGACCCTGTGGCTTTGACAGATATACTGTTGGAAACCTGTTCATCTATCACCCATTCTTTAGGTAAATGGACTTTTTGTGATTGATGATGAATTGCTTCTTAATGTATTGCTCCTCTGGAGGTTGGCTGGTAGAGGAAGGGCAGAATAAGCATAAGCTGTCAGAGATAACATTTTGCCCTTCCTTGCTCTGTGCTGTGATAATTCCGATGTTGCGGTAGCTGCTCAAGACAGTATTATGCACGGGGAAATAAATTCCTGTGGTGCAAGAGAGCTTTGAAAGGGGAGGGAGAGGTGGACAGCAGATTATGTGCAACCTCTCAGGAGTGCAAGTTGGAAACATAATTTTCTGCATGCAGAAGGTGAACTCCAGTTAATCAAGTTATTCCTGATTGAATGAAACACAAATTTTTCTCCTGCAAAGTCCAGACTTCTTGGACAAAAACACATTGGAGAGACCCAAAATTTTCTCAGGCAGCCAGTGCGTGAAACTCCAAGGCTTTGAGGCAGTTTGTGTTCTCCCTAGGCAGAGTGCCTATGGGGTTATAAGTGCTATATAGGTGCTACCTATGTAATGTTGACAGTCATGGGGCTTGTTATTACTTTAGTGTTCCAACTTGTTCTGTGACTGTAACAGTGCCCCAAGTCTCCTCATACCTGCATGTAGCTCTTGTTGCTGGTATGCCTAAAGGCAGCACCTACTTTAGAGCTAGCTACCAATCCAGAGACCTCTTTGGGAATGTTTCTTTTAACTATCAAGGCTTCTGGAAGGAGACTTCCACAACATTTTAGCTCGGGAGACTAAGTTACTTTTTGTGACAAGCCTATGATTGATGGCATAGAGTTTATGTACCCTCGCTTAATGCTACTTGTTAAAATTTGGATGATTTATAGACATTACAACTTGTCAAAAGAACAGTCTTAGGCACAGAAGTTGTCTGTAATCACATTGCATTGTTCCCTTTTAACATGCATAAGGAACAGTAGCGCTGTGGTAATACTGGAGGCAATGCACAAGGTTTACTTGTGATTCTCTAGTTGGTCACTTCCTGCCATTCAAATATGTCTAATGGGAGAGCACTGCAGACTGCCTGCACAAATGAGCTCAGTGAGCTGTGCTAACAGAAGTGGTCTGGAGACCACAGTGGTGACTGCTCTTTGTACAGTTAGTGTGTGTTTGGTCCTCAATGTGCTTGTGGCTTTTTTTGTTTGTTTTTTTAAATCCCTTAGAAAACAAAAGCTACACATCCATAAGAACAGAAGCTTTGTCTGTGATACAGCTGCTGCTCACCAAACTGCAAGGTGAGATTTTTTGCTTGACACCTGGGAGAGCCACTCTTCAGTAAAGCGGCACCTGGCTGTATGGCCTGGAACCCTGGAGAGATGGTATTGCCTTCTGCTTGCAGCGCTGGGTGATTTCAGGGTGGTTGGGACTTGGAGTTCTGTGCTTGGTGACTCAGGAAACTTGGAGAGAGCTTGAAGTAACTGTGGGTAAAGTCAAGGTCTAAAGTACTGTTGGGGCTACTCCTTGGGTGAGCAAAACGTTTTGCAAGGAGGGTCCCAGGGACAGCACGCAGGACTGAGTGTGTAGTCAGATTGTGTGTTATGTGCAGGCTCTACCATTTGTGCAGAAGAGTAATTTTTACCCTTTCGGTGCCAAGTTTAGTTCATCATTGTTAATTTAGGATTTAAGCCTTGCAGAATTTTCTTCAGAGAATGAGTCTACTTAGGTCTCAAGGGCATATGTGTCTGCAGTTGTTCTTTTGATTTCTGTTAACGCACTTCATGTTTCTTTTATTCTAGCAAAAATGTTCTTTCATGACATGAAGCAGTTGTGAAGGGGGAAACGTTGGGTTCTTGAGACCCTCGTTTTCACATGTTACAGGCTTAGACAATCAAGCCCAGTCTAAACGGGTATGACTCCCTGTGCAGAAGGCAGCAGATGCACCTGAATGTCCAGTTGAATTTGCTGCCTCCTGGAAGAGCAGTATGGGCTGCGAGTGAAATGTTGAAGCAGTCAGTCTTTTAGCCTGTCTGGGGATGGAGATGGCCTTTTGGGGTTTTTTTGGCATTTGGGTATTCATGTCCAGTGTCTGTTTGTCTTTACACAGAAGCTCAACAGTGGGAAAGCCTGACACCAGAAAGCAGAGAGCACCTCATTCGTTCGTTGTCTACGATGGCATCAGATAGCAGACCCGAGCTACAAGAGAAGGCATTTATATTGAAGAAAACACTTGAAAATCTTGACTAAGTTGTAAAACACAAACTACGAAGTGCCATGTAAAACAAAAACAAAAAAGTGCAGTGGTCTGAAAACCAAGTGGGAAATGAAGATTACTCTGTAGCATGCATCATTCCTGGCCAAAATAAAAAATGCCTTAAATTCTTTTCCCCATTAATGTTATTTTTACTCTTTTAAGCTGATGGTTAGGTTTTTTTATTAGGAAATACCTCTAACAATCTGCCCTAGAATGTTTGTAAGTGTGCAACATATAAAAAATGTTGAAGGCAAGATGCTTTTTTTTTTTTCTTCTTTAAATCGGCGAAAGAATGTTACTCAGATCCCCTTTGTCCTTCAGAGGAATTGTTGAAAAACCACCAGCACAGGAAGTGAAAAGCATGTTTGATTTTTCACTTATGTTGTGTGTGGAGATCTGTTACCTGGTGTCCAAACAGTAAATCTTTGGGACTCTGCAGTAGAGCTAGTGTTTGTTACCTATAAAGAATGAAATGCTTCCCCTGTTGAAGCATGCATTAAATTCCTGTGGCTTTCCAGGGGCAGGGTTTCATCTGTTTCTCCTGCTTGCTCTTCCCTTGCAGGCTGTTGCCTGTGAGCTCTGAAAGGCAGAGTACTGTTAACTTCACTCCTTCGTCCTTCTCTGACCTCAACATGGATTGACCGAGACTATGCCTTCCCTAGCTAGCAACCTCGGCCTCCCAAACTTTAAATGAGAACTGTTTTCCTCAAAGGATGCACAAGAGAGCACTTTACTGAGCTGTGTGGGACAAAGTTGGGCCTAGTTGGTGCCCAGGTGGAACACTGCTCTTCTCAAAATTGTTTTGCATGGACACTCCTCAGCTGCAGGAAAAAAAAAAAAAAGGAAAACAATCTTTTCTAGATATGTTTTTGAAGAGTGTTCGAAGTTTGCAATGACACGTTTTTTTAATAGTGGTAATGTTTTATTCCCTTCCTGTTCGTAACCCTGTTCTTGCTTTGAAAACCTGTAATGATTTAACTTGTCAATATTTGTAAGAAACTGAATCATCTGTCATTTCTCAGCAGCCCAAGTCATGCTGGTTTCTAGCAAATACTTTTTAATTTGCATTTGAGAAGAAAGATTATATCTACATTAACGTGGAGTAAAATTGCTATATGATGATGTGGCCATGCTGCCTGTCTCCTCCCTCCCCCCCCACCCCCCCTCCTCAGATAAAAGACAAACCTGACCACTATAGCAACAGACTTCTGATAGTGTAAAGTTAGCACTGCACCGTAATCTGACCAGTATGTGTACAGCTTTTTGGGGATAAATGCTTTGCTGATGGTGAAATAAAATCATTAGTGTAGGCAATACCATGTCCATGGCTTTCAGCATAGGAAGGTTTATTTCTTTTCTTACAGTCTGCAGCTCCTCTCAGATTTGATCTGGCAGGGGGAGGATTGCTCAGATAACGTCACATTTCGTCCATGCCCATTTATTCAGAATCAGGTACGCAGTACCTACTTTTCCCTCAGGTGCCATTTCCCATTCAGTGTTTTCTGGTACTGTAACAATCTCGTTGTCTGACTTGCTCTCCATGGGAAGGGAGGAATGTAATTTGTGCACACCTGGTAAGAAAATGTCAGCAAGAAATGGGCAGAGCTGTCCCACTGTGGCTCTTGTGTAGCAGAAACCTCAGCAAGCACTATTGCATTGTACACTAGAACTGGTCAGTGGGTAACTCCTTGGTGCTGGGAGCTGGTGCTATAATGTTTTGATTTACACCATGTTGCAGGGAGCTGCTCTTTGTTTACGTGTAGTTTGACCTTTTGAGCACAGTGTACATTTTACAATTTTACTGGGCAAACCACTTTGCAGTGTCTGAAAACTTGCTTACCATGACATGTAGTGTCATGAGTGCTCATTTTTTTTTATATTAGATGAATATTACCAGTGATGCTTTGCTGTAGCAGTTCATTGTCAACTTGGGTTTTTTTTCGTACTCGTGAGTGACAGTAACAGAAAAAGCAAGAGCCTCTGCATCTCTGGTAATGTGAGTTTTCACTGTGGACTGGAGTATTCAGAGGCGATGCCTAATACAGTCAAACGACCGTAAGTAGGATAACCGTAATTGTTGTCAATAGCAACCTGAAATTCTCTATTGGGGATTTACACTAGAGGGAAGAGCG